ATTTGTTCATACACTAATAACTATAATACCAACACATTGCCTAAAATTCATTCATATGCAATTATAGAATTCAAGAAATCCTTGATTTTCTAAACATAATTTTATTTTTTAAAATCTAATCCAACTAAAAACATTATTAACTTTAAAAATCTTCCTAAAACTAAATATTACCTAGATTTATATAAAACCAATACTCAAAATTCTTTTTATCCTTGTATTATCAAATTCCACTCTTTGATCTACCAAAAAACCTTAGAATTGCAGTAGGTATGTGGTTTTGTGCCTTGGGATCTGATTTTGACCCAAGTTGACAACTAGTCTTCTTTGGGTATCAATATTTGGTAATTTGAGGTAATTTTTGTTTAAACCTATTGATAACTCCCTTTTAAACATATCTATATCAATTACTTATTTTATTTAGTTTGATTTGATGCATTAATGTACCTTTAAGGCAAATAGAAGCCACTTCTCTAAAAAGCAACATTAAGACTAAACCTTTTATTATATTCCTATTTATTATCCTTATTTTTCAACTACATCTTTCAACTAGGATCTTCTATAATAACATCCATGTTTTCATTTTTTACCATATAGTTGTATTATTATACAACATCCATAGAAGAGAGAATAATGTCATGGACATGCATATTTATCTTAATAATTATCTATATGATTAAGTAAAAATAGGTAAATTTAAATTAATTTTGTAATATTTTTTAGAAAAGCTTTCTTGAAGCTTTATAGATGCTTCTTTGACTTTACATGTGTTTGTAGTTGATTGATAGGTTAGAAACTTGGTCAATAACTTAATCATGTATAGGTAACTTGCGAAACAAGTTAACTATGTGTCACACATATAGAAAACTTGACTTGCAAGTTAAGATATGTGTCTTGCAAAGTCAACACATTTTAGAGGTCTTATAGGACATGGCCACATAGCCCCTACTTAAGAATATATATGGAGGTAAGAGTGAAGCCATCTTCATTCTCTCAACGCCTTTCTAGTCTTTAGCCTTGTCTCAAGATTTTCTAAATCTTTTTGTTTTTGGCTATAGCCATTCTAATTTAATATCATGTCATCTTTGAATGATTTTTTAATCTTTTTGAGTGACACAAGAGTGTATTGATATTTTAATTCTTGTCTTTGATAATTGGACAACTGGCTCTGGAAAGAAAAATGGAACTTACAACAAGATGAACCTAACAACTCTAATATAATCCTAAAAAAATATCAATTAAATTATAATAATACTAATTAATCTTTAATTAAATCTTAAATATGTCTCAAAAATTATAAAAAAAAATATAAAGAAATAATAAATTTAATTTAATAAAATATATATAATATAAAAATCTTTAAAAAATATTAAAAAATAGATATTTTAATTAAATTCTAATCAAATTCTAATATAACCTTTATTAAATTTCAATAAAATCTTAAATCAATTCTAATTAAATATAAATCAAATCTTAGATCAAATCTTAATTAAAATCTTAATTAGAATCCTAATAAATCTTAATTATATCCTATATCAAATCCTAATAATATTTTGATAAAATCCTAAATCTTAAATCAATACTAATAAAATCCTATTAAAATTTTAATCAATTTTTAAATAATTTTAATCAATTTTTAAATCTTAAATAATTCTTAATGATCTTATAATAGATTAAAAATTCATAAATTAATAATTGAATCATTAATTTTGACTCAAAATTTGTATACCTTGCAACAAATCAATAAGCAATAAGTAAAAATACTTTGAAGAAGATTTCACATACAAATTACAAGAAACACTCAAAAAATCTCTCAATTATTGGCCACCCTCTTTTTTCAACTTGAAAGTTAATCTTTCAACAAAGATTTTTCCTTGTTGAATCATTCAGTTATTCAAAAATTTGAATTGTATATAGATATTCAAATATAAATTTTCCTTATAAATTTTTTCTTAAATCAAATAAGTAATTATTGTCAGATTATGAAATCCCTCATTGATCCTAAATCTCAATTATCCAATATCATAATCCACAAAAATCCTAAAATGCTTCAATTTGATTGTTTGATTGACAATAAATTTTTTACACTCATTTACAATAAGCATAATAACAAACTTCTCTATTTTCATCCATAAATACGCTATGAAACTTATAAAATCTTCGAATTTGTAAACTTATTTTTATTTTTCAAAATCCAAATCTACTGAGTACATTACTAACTTTGAAAATCCCTCAAAATCTCAATATTAATCCAAATGACATGAAACTAATAATTAAAAATCTTTCTTTAAGTCAACTCTCAAATTCTATTCATTGATTGACAAAAGAACCTTAGAATTGCATTGCTGTAGATGCATGGAATTGTACCTTGGAGTCTGATTTTGACCCATATTAACAACTAGTCTTCTTTGAGTATCAATTTTTGATAATTTGAAGTAATTTTTGTTGAAATATATTTTTAATTCTTTTCTAAAGTTTCTTATATTATTTACTTATTTCATTTACTTTAATTTGAGACTTTTATGTCGATACAAAGTAAATAGAAGTTCTTTCTATAAAAATTAGTATTAAGACCAAACTTTTTATTACCTTTTTTATTATTTATTTTTATTTTTCTATTATATCTTTTTACTAGGTTCTTCTGCAATAACATCCATATTTTTATTTTTTACCATATAGGTATGTTTTTACATAACAATGATATTACCTAGTCTACTAAAATCACTACATACACTTCATACACCACCCACAATTTTGAAGGTGGTTCTTATAATTACTTCACCTTAATTGATGGCTCTATTGACTCTACAAGGTATACCCACATATTTAAAAGATTTGGATACATGTCTTGAATTAGAACTCTAGTTTCTTCATTCTTATTTGGATGATCCTATCTCATGGCCATATTTTGATTTTAATTTAGGACTTCTACTCTTTGTAGATCTTGGTTGTCATGAAGAAGCTACTTTGATGGATAAGACAAAATTGTCTTCACTATACTCTCTTGTATCTCTCCTATCCATCCATGAGGTCTTTGGACATTCTTGTTCTATATCTAATTCATCTAATTTTTCTCCCATTGACTCTCTAAGGGATTCTCTGAAGGACAAATGACTTCTATAATCCATACACATCACTTATTGATCTTAAAAAGCATCTAAATCTAACAACATTGCTTTAAATATAGATATATATATATATATATATATATATATATATTAGTAGATTACTACCCACTTTGATGGATCCACTTTTAGTTTATAAAGCACTTACAAGCAAAGATATCTCACATTGGCACCTAGCTATAAAAAACAAATATAATTCTTTGATCAAGAATGGCATAAGGGAGTTGATACCTTGTCTTTGTAATTGCTCTATTACATGCATTAAATGGCTGTTATATTGGTAATATAATTCTAATGGTTTTTTAGCTTGCTTTAAAGTATAATTTATTGCTTGAGGCTTCTTGCAACAAGAACGTCTTGATTATAATGAGACTCTTTTCCTATCATCAAAATGACATTTCTCTACCTCCTCCTTACTTTAATTACTCATTATAACTTTCATATTTATTAAATAGATGTTACTACGGCCTTCTTAAATAGGGTTCTTAAAGAAGAACTTTACATCATTTATCCTAAAGGCTTTATTGTACTTAGTCATGAGATCAAGGTATGTCATTTACTTCAATTCTTATATGACTTAAAATAAGTTCTTCAAGTTTGGTATGATCTTTTTTATGACTTTTTAGTTACTAATAGATTTTCAAAATGTATTTCGAATATCAATGTTTATTATAAATCATTATCTATATTCAATATCTACTTTAAACTTTACACTGATGATTTAGTTTAAATCTCAAATGATTTATCTTATCTTATTTTTAAAGTATTCTTCTCTTTTTGTGTCTCTATGATGGACAACAAAAAAATCGAATACATCTTAGGTATTCAAATTTGCATTAATCATGCCACATGTACTTTAATTCTCTCTCAAAATAAAAATATGTAAGATATATTAAATTATTTTTCTATGAATAATTTTTATACCATTTCTACTCTTCTAAAGACTAGTATTCATTTTTCTTATGGTCTTGACCTCACGACGAGAGGGAGGAGAGGAATGTTGAATTCATGGCATCAATTCCATATGCACACATCATTGGAAGTCTATAATACCTTGTCACTAATACTGAGTATGATTTAGCTTTTTCTATACATCATGTGGCATAATTTATAGCTAAGCCTAGTCCAATACATTGAATGGCTTTAAAGTACATATTATGTTATTTAAAAGGATTTCAAAATTTTGGACTATGTTATTTAAATTCTTCTTCTACATTTCTACTACAACTTTATGATTGGAGTAGTGCGAATTATACAAGAGATCTAAATGCTTGCAAATCTACTTTGGATACTTGTTTTACTTCAATTCATCTCTTTTGAGTTGCATTTCTAAGAAACAAGTTGTAGTAGCATAATTAAGTATCAAAGCAGAATACATTGTGGTGGCAACATCTTTAAAAGAATTGATGTGGCTTCAAACTCTTTTCAAAGAAATTGGACATGAAGTAACTTTATCAAGTAAATTTTATTTTGAGAATCAATTATGTATTGCAATGACACAAAATCCATATTTCCATGATTCCACAAAATATATTGATATCAAGTATTTTTACATTTGAAAAAAAATAAAGGCAAATGAAGTTGTTTTGAAGTTTATATCTACAAATGATATGAAGGCACATATAATGATAAAGACACTCTCAAGTAGCTTCTAAAGTTCTTCTTATTTTACATTATTTCTAAATTTCACTTTAGTTTGAACTTTAAAAATAATATAAAATAAAAAGAGATCATAAAATGAATTAAATTATTACATTATTATAAGTCTAAATATGTTTTTTTTATTATTTAATTATGTCTATAATTGTTAGAATCAAGATATGAGTCTCAAAAAAACAATCTAAATAATTAATTTTATCATTTTCTGACACAATCTTGTAATTTTTTCTAAAAATCACTTCTTTAGGTATGTCAAATTAAAATTCCAAAAAATAACACTCTATTCACAAGTAGGATGAAAGTGCATTCCACTTCATCATTTTCTCTATTTAATACTGGGCCAATTTTTTTTGAATATAAAATCAACTCAAGAAACCTTCTCAATCTTGGTTGTTTAAAGTATGTAAAAGATAGCTACCTCTCATTTCATCTTCTCCTTTGGATACAAATATTCCTCTAACTAATCTAGTTGATGTATGTATGTGTATGTTTATATATATAAATCAATATTCCTAGAAGCGTCTTCCTCAGAAATGGATTGCCCCCACACAACATCAATCTGACTACCGACCACCTGGATTACCGACTGCATCACGAGGAAGGAATCAGCAATTGGGTGACAAAGATTCTCCACGTCGACCCACGACAGTCAACTTGGATCAACGGTTGGGCGCTGCCCACCGCTGGACACTGCAATGCCGAGGGCACTGTCGATAGCCACAAACCCAGTCGAGTCCAGGCAAGGATCAGAGCCTTCTCTCCGGGATGAAGCCATCCTCGATGATGAGATCATGAACGATGTGGGCAGGGACGAATCCATGGCGTTGCAATCCCTGTGAGCTGTGGAGTTGGACGGCGATCTCAAACACTGTGGCTGGGGTAGCAAACCTGTTGGGTCGTTACTGCTATACGATTGCCGGGAGGAGGCCTCCAAGTCAAGAGGCAGTTCCTGCAACATCTCTTCAGAGTTCCAGAAACATCCACAGCTCATACACTCTGCGAATCCCCTCTCAGCGTCTGAGTAGCTCTGTTGACCACCGAAGCATGAAAACGTGTGCTGCTAGAAGCTTAGAGGTTTTGTTCGTAGAATGTCCTGTCGTTATGTATGCACATGGGGCTCTTTACATTCCTCACGATCTCTATGTGGAGTGTTAGTTTGGTGATTTGCACCTGGTTAGGGGTTTTGTCAGAGTGGAGAGGTTTTGTAGGTACCCATGCAGCTTGTTGAAGCACACGTAGAATCTCTTTGCATCGTTTCCTCTTTGCTGCTATCTCCTCCTTTTCTTGAAGCATTTCCTCAAACATATTTTCCCTATGATATTGAAGCACGTTTGCTTATTTGAAGAATTCCAGGGTATGTTTGTTTACGTGATGCAGATCAACACGAAAGGAAATCGCTTAATGAAGCCACTAACTTTTATTTATCTCAGTTAAGGATTTCCCAATTAACATCCGAAATCAAAACGATGCATCTCCAAATTCATACAGCCAATATCCACTAGATTCTCAATTACCTGTATAACTTCCGGATGAAGACACTTTGAAGTTCCCGTCTTGAGTGATTTACCTGGTTTCAGTATACAATTACTCTCTTGAGAAAATGTGGTGTTACCTCAGACTCATGTGACTTTATTTCTAAAATTTGAGGTAAATTGATATTAAAACCGAAGAAAACTAATCACAACGCATGTGATGCTGCCTGAGAAAAGGTATGCAGTGATCTGTAAGGTTTTTACTGACGGTGGTTGTCTTACCAGAAAGTGCATGATGGCTTTGGGAACGGAATCCTGAATATTCTTTCGTGCAATGTCATAGTAGGAATTTAGAAGCAGGCGAGTCACAGAGATTTCTACTGATTCGTGCTCTGTTTGAACATCATTTACCCTCAACACCAAGGGTGGCTGTTTCAAAAGACAAAGAAATTCTCTCTTGTTGAAAGGAATAATTGTCAAAAACCAAAAGATGCTTGAACAAACTGATCAGGACATTCTGAACACAAGACATTGCAGATGTCTTCACCTTGCTCGAAAACGTCAAAACGCCTGTAATCTCAGACATACCTCGCGGAGCTGAATACATGCATACGATGACTCCACGCTTCCTTGGATGGGTTCACTGTGACCACGGTTTAATATATGTTCCTTGTCCCCGTCGCTGGAACTTTTTTCAATGGTTCCAAATATTGACGGTATACCCCAACTTCCCACTGGTCCAGAACTTCCTGAATATCAAAGAGAGACACGTTAACCTGTTAAAAACTACTTCTTCTTCCTTTTGTTCAAAATTAGGCAAGAAAACTAGCTATCTCACCTGAGACCACAGTTTAGTTCCCACGAATTTCTTCATACTTGTAAATTTTTGACCGATATCACACTTCCAGAATCATCGTGAAGAAATAAGAACTATGCTTACAAAGTGCTACAGTTAATAGCTTTATTACTGCACCTGATAAAACAGGTTTCTCTCGCTGCAGATTATGAGGCTTCTTGTTCTGTATTCATAAAGGCGGGGGTGGGGGGCGGGGGCGGGCAACCAAAAAAAGAAAACAGGAAAACTCTTAGAAAAATAAAATAAAAAATATCGTATCACCTATTGTAAAGGGTCCTGACTTACCACGAGAGTTGCATAGATTCAACATTTCCGCACATGCGGTACTGCGTAGTGATCATGACTATATATTGCAACCAAAATCATCATAAAAATATCATGATTCCATCGATTCATGTACTGACCAATCCTATCATTCAGTAAACCCACATTCACGATAAAGTTAAATTACTATGGATGCATTGGTGCAAGCCGAAATGGTCCATGCCTTTGTGGGCTTCTCTAGAATCAGCAGTCTTTCAGCCCGAGTTTCTTTACAATCATGCATATCCTGTCACCAATAACCTAATTCAGGCCAAGCTGGGAAAAATTCGAAAATAAATGAAGAAAAACGAAGGCAAATTGTGAACACTAAGCATGAGTTACATAAATCAAAGCACGACAGCGTGCGGAAACGAAATATCAGCACATTCTAAAACCTGTTAAAAGACCATGTCATAAACTTGGTCAACAGAAAATTAAACAATTTGTGAATTAACAGTACAATTTCTAATCTTTCAAGTGGAGACCAAATCTGTTTTGATTTAAATTCAACATAATAAATCAAAATAGATAAAGGAAAAGATTCTGAACAGTAACCTTGGCTTTGATCGTGTTAGAAGTTAAAACCATGGAACTCCGCTGCTGCTGAAGCGCAACCTCAACGGCCTTACTACCTCCAAGAAAAGCAGGATGGGAAGTATTTATATAGTCCATCTGCCAGTGTAACTTTAATCATTAGATTCCATGGAATTCCAAACTGTTATCTTTTACTTTGAAAACAAAACGTTAGATTTTATGCATATCCGAGGGGCATACTAATAACTATCCCAAAACACAACCACGATTATTAGCAAAAACAATCCACATTCACTTCCAAGCGGCATTAACTAAGCAATTCGCATTATCTTCTGCAAGGTAGCTCAATTTGTAATCTGAGTAAAAGGAAGAACCAAAAAGAATGTACAGTATTCACTTACACTAGATGATATATTACAAGGCATCCAAAATCAACGCACGCTTATGTAGGAATATGAAGTTCAACTTAGTTATTAACACATATAAAACTAATGCTTGTGGTTTAGAGCAGTAAAAAGCACCTCCATTTCAATTAGGTGTCCAATCATAGTTTCTGCAGGAGCCAAGCCATCACGTAAGAAATTGGCTACCACTTCATCAATGCGACGTCTTAAAAGGGGAAACCGTTGCAACTCGTATGATTCACATCTTTGAGAAATCTGTCAAAATTTTCACTTTTTATTTATACACGAAGGAGGAAAGTTTCAATAAGGTACGACAACTAAGACCAATGAGCCACCTAGCCACCTAGCACCTAGAATCGATGGATGCTGGAAGTGTGGTGAGAGGTTGATTCAAATCTTGGGATCAACAGTATATATCTACTTTTTGCGTTGAAATATGAGATTTTTATGGTAGTATATTTGTACACATACATGTATATATATATATATATATATATAACGAGAGAGAGAGAGAGAGAGAGAGAGAGAGAGAGCCCAATGTGGCCATGTTGTTACCTTGACAAGCTCATCATAAATATACCGTGCGCATTGCAGACTAGGCTCCAATAATCGAGCAATTTGTCGACGCACTAAAACCTCAAAAGGCACCTATAGAAAAAGCTTAATCACAATAATTTAAAGATATATGCTACATCTATATTGAGAGAAGGCACATTAAAAGCTGATCATTTCCAACTCCCTTTTGCATAATTTGATAAAAACTTCATCAAAGATTAAATTAGAAATCCCAGTCATTAGGATCTCAAGCGACCAACGAAAATATGACCACTCTACCATGCACATAAAACTAGAGTGCGAAAGCAACAAGATGAAACCTCTGCCCAAGGAAATAATTGATCTTAGCTCTACGGCTGTTCAGATTGACATTACACCAGGATTTCAGCCACTGCAAGGGTAATACCGTTTTGAATTGTACCTCAGGCACAAAGAGCACATTTTTGGGTCCTGTTGCATTTTGAATGGCAGTTCGAATATCCTCATCGGTTAAAACATCACATGGATCAACCTCCTGTACCAACTCCAGTTCCATAAGTATTTCCATTTGATTCAAGATAAAATAAAAGACAACTGTTACTTTGCCTCCAACATTCAAAGGCCAGACAAGCACCTCTAGGCCTCTGACAAAAATTTCTTGGAAAATGTAGTGTATACGTGCTCCTCCAGAAAGTTCAGTTGTGGACATCTCTTCATAATTTCCTTCCACAATTGACTGATAATCTGCAGTCGGAAGTGAGAACTGTGTTTCTCATGGATCTGTTTGGATAAGAACCGTACATAACAGTAGGAGCATACTAAGAGCTAATGAACGATATCATCACATTGACTGTTTAAAAAGAATAGCAAGATGATGGTTGTGAGAGAGGGGCCAGCAATAGCATTCACCTGACGAATACTTGGTGATGATTCCAAGCAATAATGCTGCTTGTCCTGACTACAAAATCCACAATAGCCACATAGCATAATTCAGTTTCTTGAAAATGAAACCTACAACAAATGAAATATGGATGGAGTTGTTGAAATGTAGACACCAGGAACCATCGTAACTATGCTGGCACCTTGGAATCTGTCAATTCTCCATAACTGGTCAATTCCTTCTGCAAGAAAATCATCTGATTGCTAATACGGGATTTAAGATCAGGAAGCACGGCCTTTATATGTTGGACCAAAATCTGCAAGACTAACACAGACCACGTCAATTAGTGGTAAATAAAATGGACATGATTCACAAAGTTAAGAAGATGGCGACAGAGGATGTATTTATGGCTGCTATTCTTGACTCTGCTCCGGAAGTGGCTTGGAACTTATCAGTTTTAGGTTTCAAAAGGGTGGACACAAAATTCAAATCTCAGCTCAACTTGATCATTGGATCAGACGCCTACCTAAAGCACCCTTAACCCCAAATGAAGTTAACATGCTTATATATATAGGGTAGATGATGTTTGGATATACAAATCAAGGCTCACAACAAGTGTATTACCGTGTTCAATTTCTTTGCCAACTGAGGAACACCACATCGATCTGACAAGTTGTGATAAACCTGCAAAGGACCCATTTGCAAGCATGGAATCTCACATCAGAAAAGAAGCTTCTTTCCACACATGTTTACAATCAACGACATTAATCTCCGAATTTCAGTGCAAGATTTTTATGATTTTGAAACTAATATATGGCTAAGAAAATGTGGCTGAGAAACATTAAATCATTAGAATTGCATGGGAACGTTGCAGAACCTCATATGAGTTCACGGTGCACACAAATTTAACGTTTCATGTTGACTTGGCTTGTGGAAGAACGGTTTACACTTACAGGCCTGCTGCGGAAAAAGTTCTCTTCATTTGTGAGTGCATCCCTGATGCTTCTGTTGCGACTAATATCCTGAGAATATATCAACGTGGCATAACCGGGTTGAATTAAACATAACGAAACCCAACAATTTATTATCTTAACCCAGATAGAGTGAGGTTGCGAAGATCATGTACAGCTTTTGATACACAAACTATTTAAGCAAGTTGTTCTAACACGAGTATGGAAACAGAGAACCAACCTCTTGACTCCTGTTGACCACGCCAACGTATCCAAGGCGAAGAGGTATAACATTTCCTAATAACAAACTCCGAGCATCCGTGCCTCGATCCATGATATCTAGCTGCATTTCCACAATTTAACAGAATCGAAAGAAGTAACTGTGCAATGCTACACTGTTGTACTATTATGTTTCTGAGCACAACTGCATTTGCATTCCATAAGAACACTGAAGAATCTCGCTGCAAAAAATAAACAAATAAAGAAAGCTTCATGAATGCAAGATTGAAATTCGAAACAAAACACGACAACTCAAAAGGATGACCTACAGGTTGTCGTTACTATTGCAGAATTTATCCTTAGAACTTAAAATAAGCACTGGATTTTTAGAACCGTGTACAATTTGACCAAAAAGCATCTAAGTAACTCCTCGCGATATTTATAGGCTTAATACATTCATGAAGCTGGTAAAAGTTGTCACCCAGGAAAAACTTGTTAAGTACCTTTGAGATTACGCCAATGGTCCGAGATCCTGTGAAGTTTACAACATCGCATTAACTTGTGCCGAAGGGGATTAGAAAATGGGAAGTTTAACTTGATGAAATCAATGCCGGCATGAAAAGCCTAAAAACTAAGGGAGGTGGAGCTTAGCACACCATCTGGATCAGCTATTCGAGCCATTTGAAGGGCATCAGAATTAGCAAGATCAGCATTGGCAGGCGAGACTGCCAAGATGATACAGGTTTTGTGCTTTATGTACGATAATATCATGGTCCTCACGCGTGCTTCGATGTCTGTGGGTTGGTCTCCAACTGGAACTTTCGTAATGCCAGGCAAGTCAACCAACGTAATGTTCAACACATCTGGAGAAAAAATCTTCAAACGAATCTGCTTTTCAGATATTCCTTTATTTGTTCCCATGTCCCGTTCCGTCTCCAACTACCCTCCAAGATTGCCCAAACGATGGTTATACAAGACAGAAAAATTTAGATCATAAGTAGGACAGTTGAACGTGGGAAGGTTGGAATTGGATGCTAACCGTATCTTCTGCTAAGGAGGCATAATTGATTTTCTCTGGAGTTAGAATGAAGCAAATTTCGGAGATTAGGAATAAAGTTTTGTCACAGAGCTGTACCTGAATCTCTTTGCGAATTGCAGAGAAATTCGTGAACTGCCGACCAGGAATGTGAAGAAACTCCCCCCATTCCACAAGCTCTGACTTCTCATCGGATCTTCGAAGTGTTTGAACCAACTGCAGGACTAAGGGGCGCCGCGTACAAATATCTGAACTTCTTGGTAAAAAATCTTTACCGACCAGTGCTTCTAGAACACTTGATTTTCCACTACTTTGGCTCCCCACCACAGCCACCTGCACATTGCACTCTTGCTTAAGTTGAATGGTCCATCCCCAAACAAATTTGCATATACAAAAATAGTTGCACTATTTTAGAATACAAGCTTATCTTCAATAACTTGATTATGCATGATACACACATCGCTATGTATGGAACCCTAGACCCTAAACGTATCAGATGGAAGTAAAACAAGAGGACACAAACAATAGTTTCTATTCAGAACCAGATGATCTATATAAATAAATGTAAGAATGTATGTAAGTGTATATATGAAGAATATTGCTCACAACCCAACGTCTTCTGTAAAAATGAATCCACTGGGACACTTAAGACATACCCGACGGACAGAAAAAAGTGAAGCATGAAGCAGAGTTACATTAATATTATAAAAAACACCATAGCAGTGCTATACTCTGCCCACTACCCACATTCAGCGCTCAACACCATCTTCGTCATTATCATAAAGTAAAGGGATTGACAGAAGAATTAAGACGAGCCATTAAAACCAAATACATGAATACGATCAAGCCTCCGCTCGGGGAGTGTTGTGTGTCCTGGCCACAATGCATTTTCTATACATAGAAACCAGCTTCGAAAAAAGTTCTGATTAGGCAGAGTCAAAACTGTGACCTTATTGGCGAAAGAAAAGTCGGAAGCGAGGAACCACCTCCCACCTTAAAAATGTGATGGGAGCATGCATGCAAACAGGGGGTGAGAGAAGGGCTATTGAAGAGCGACTAACTTGAGGCAGATCAATGGTCGAAGCGCTTCCAAGCTGGCACAGAATGTCTTGCAGCTTGTTGACGAGAGGGATGACCGACTGACCCAGAAACGCTGCTGCTGGAGGTGGCGATGCAGGAGGAGACCCTGATGGCGATCCAGGCACCTCGGACGATGGAGCCATGGTGACCATCATCTCTCTCTCTCTCGCCCTCCCTCCCTCTATCCTTCTAAGCCTATCGCCCTCCCTCACTCACTGTAAAGCAAAGGGAAGCTGCCCACTCTCTGTCCGTAGGTGGCTCCTTCGCAGGCTGGCCGATACTATGCAGAAGCTGCGCAACACTGAGCAACATGCAGAGAAAAGCACCACAATACCTGCAAATAACTGTTACAGCACCCAAAACAACAACAGTAGCAGCAGCAGCAGCAACTGTAACAACAAAAACTGCAACTGCAAATACAAGAACTGCAACTACAAGCAGCCTTCAAAATGCGAAGGAAATGGCCATGTGGGTCATGACTTCTCACGTCGAGGATTCAACTACAGATTGAAAGCTTCGGACAGTGCTGGCTGAAAGGGAGCAACGAGCTGCCAAAACTACAAACTTCAAGGATATGTTGTGCATGTGTTGCTTTTGATTCTTGCGGTTAAAGACGCAGAAAGCCACAGTGGAGAGTCGGATTTTGGCACTTTCGGTTGAAGGATTGTGCAGAGAGATAACAGAAGTATGAATGGTGCTATACTGATGGCTGGCAATGTAATATTCTCTGTTTAAAAAAATGGAGTAAAACAAAATTGTAGCAGTTTGTTTCATAAGAATTAATATTTGATATGAATTTGAGACGAAATTTGTTAAGACCTTGACATTTACGTTAAAAGTAATGAATTCGATTACAAAACGGCATTTTCATGCCCGAGATGCAATTTATTTAGAATCGGACAAATGAATGTTTTCGATAAATTCAAATTTTGAACTGATCATATCATTTTTTAAAGCTTCAATTACTATGCTCAGTTTTCATGTTTTATGTTGATAAAACTCAATTCAGTATGTTGTATTATTCTCGAGACAAAAACATTAAACATGACAGTTGTGGTTTATAAAAATTCAAAGTTCAACAATGAAAACACACAACAATACTGTTTCTTCAACATCTGATGTTAAAATCAATGCAAAATAGGTTGGATACGTGAAAACAATGTTAATTATAATAATAACATTAATCACTTTTACTCAAACACTGTCATTTTCGAGTGAAATAAAAAGTTGCAGTTGATAGTTTTGTTGCATCCATATCAAAATTCACGTATGTATTTTTATTTCTATTTTATATTCACATGATGTAGAGAATTTTTTTTTGCTAATTATTTTGTGATTCGATTCTTGCCAATAATTTTGTAACCGCAAGATTTTCTTCTAATGACAACTTTTAAGATCTATTTGGTTCGATTGTTCTTTTTTTTTTTTTTTTTTTTTTTTTTTATACTAATGCATTCTTTTTAACTATTGTAATTTTTGCTAATAACAATAAAAAAATCTATGCATAATAAACTAATAAGAGTGAAAATAGACTTCAGCCTGACAATATAAATTACAATTTTTAGTAACTGATACATGCAAACAAAAGTTCTTAGAAGGTTGCAATAGGGCTCTTCAGTAAAAACTATAAACAAATATATTTAGTTCTGAAAATCAATAAGTTTATCTTTGAAAAAAAATTAAAATATATATTATATTACAACATTTTTTAAAAAAACATATGAAAATAACTTGAATATAACTTGAATGTAGAATATTTTTTTTCAAATTCTACCAAAAAATAATTATGTTTTTTCTATTTATAATTATCCTAAAATAGTTCAAATTTATACATTATTTTATCAAAAAAACTCGGAGTTGAAGAAATTTATTAAGAATTCTACATTAAAACTATTAAAAATCTCTGACCTCTATATTAGTTGTAGCAATCTAAAACTTTAGACTTGTGAAATCTATAACTTTATTTTCTTACTATCTAATTATTATTGCATTTTTGGCACACATACTTTCAAGGAAATTTTCTCATAAGGTAATTCTTAAAATATATAAGAAAAATAGAATTAGAAATTAATTTTGATCATCAAATCTCTTATGCACCAAAAACATATTATATTATATTATATTTAAATATGATTTCTTGTATTGATTTCTTTCTTTATCTCAGGTGATGTGTTAAAAAATATATTTATATTTATATATACATATATGTTCTTGAAATATTATAAAAAATCTGAAAAAGTAATAAATAGATATTAAATGAGATTCTTAAATCATATATAATTCATGGAAATAGAAGTTTAAAATATAATTTTATTGCACTTGATTTTTTTTTCTTCTTTTTTTCTTGTATTTGTAGTAATTTTTCTTATGTTTTTTTTATAATTTAAATAAAAAAATATTTAAGTATTAAAAGAATATTAAAGCTATTATCTTAAATTTCATGCTTTTTTTTAATAATTTAAAGTTTTGATCTTATCACTAATCATTTTATTTAATGAATAAAATTACAACTAATTTTTTTCACCTTATCAAATATGTGTGAATAATAATGATTCTTGTAGATAGGATTGTGAGAGATTGGAAAAAATAGCATCCAATTAGTAGTGGTAAGAGAATGGTGTTGGTGATGTTTTAGTGATTGGATAAAAAATAATCTTCACAATTGCATTTGTTTTAAAAATGAAGATTCTATGTGTGACCTAAAACAAAAATAAAATAAAATAAAATCACAAATCTATTGTTGTTGAGATGCAACACCCCCACAAAAAAAATTAAATTAAAGAAATTGTGGGACAAGAGCAAAAGCATATTTGAAGGTTTGAGAAATAGTTTCTATTTTCTAGAAACTTATTTTACAATGGTTTATGGTAGCAATCACAAAAAAAAAAAAAAAAAAAAAAAAAAAAAATCTTAAAATAAATATAAACTATCTAGTTCTATATGGATAATATAGAATATAAAAGTAATATTTTAGTTCATAGAGATTGGTAACCAATTTAATGTCTTTTTTACTACTATTACCTCCAAAAAGTTATAAAGCCGCTAAAACTACCCTAAGTACTACCTCATTTTATTTAGCACAATCTCTATTTTTTTAATTTATTTATTCTATATATCTTGCTAATATGCCTTCTATATGACTTTCAATTGTAGTAATACTCATATAAATTATTACAATAGATTTCTTTATGTTATTTTAATGAGTGCATTGATATTTTTAAGTAAAATTTTTAGTGGATTAATCTTTGTATTAAATTTTCTAAGATTCTCACTTTTTCCTCTTTCATTAAAGAAGGCACTTATATATTGTCCATTCCTTCTTCAATTGTATTTTTAGAACTTCTACAACTTCATATTCTTCTTCAAGTTAAAGCTTGGCTTCTATATCTTCTATTATTCCTAAGACTCTTCTTTCCTTTCTTTTTGCTATGAAGTTTTTAACATGTTCACCCTTCATTTTACTATTTTAAAGTGATTCAAATCATCATTGTTGCTCCTAATTTGCAAAGTTCTAATGCTACATATGACAATCTATTTAGAACTACTTTTATCTCCCAACAATCAATTTGTGTTGTGCTTACACTCCCAATTGCTATTCCAATCAAGTTATTGATAGATATAGATGAATACATATATATATATATATATATATAAGAATGTTAAATAGATCCATGCTTTTACTAAATAGACCCATTCTTGATGAAGAATATGATAATCATGATGAATATGGTTGGTTTTTATTGGTTGCAAATCCAATGGTAGAGAAATAAACCCAAAAATCATTATTTTTTTCATGCTGGGTGGATCAATTTGGTAAAAACTTAGGTCTATTTAACATTCCCCTATATATAATATATATTGTGATACATTTATACCCACAACTTCCAAAGTTTCTACCCCAACTCACATTTAATAATCAAAATTACTTTTTGACAAGAATAGTTCAGCAGTTGATGGTCGACCAACGTGTGCTGCGCAACTCAACGAAGCTCTAATATATTAGAGCTCATAGTTGGATTCTATCGAGTTTCGTTTTCGAACTCAACCTCCTCAACAGACATTATCCTCATCAGGTCAGAACCCCCTCGTTGAAAACCCCTCGCGGAATCGAGAGCGCATACCAAATCTAGCCCAAATTATGTCACATGCACGAGAGGAGACAAATCCCAGCAGATTACTGCAAAAAATGCATAAATAAATAACAGCCATTGAATTGAGTTTTACCGACAAGAGAGAGAGCTTTTAGATGATGATCGACCGCGTTATCTGATCAAGTTCCGGCACTGTAGACGGCGACGCTGCGGAGAAAACCACCCTCTTATACCTCCCCATCAACCAATTCTGCGAGAATCTCCGCGAGAACGATCCTGACTTTACAATCTGATGATTCGTGGCGGAGCTCCTAACACTTCGTGTTCCAGACAATTAAACGCCCCAGAGAAGATTCGGTTTCGCAAGGGCCTAGACAGCTTGCTCAATGCCCACCGACGTCTCGGTCAAAGACCGCCTGAACCAGCTCACCCTGACCTTTCCTTCGGTCAATCAGCTTAGCAAGGACGATCGTTGCTTGAAATCCATATCCTTATCGACGACCTCCTCGCGCATAATCGACGAAGAAAACGACGACGCGTTAGAGAATCTTATCTTCAATCCAACTTCATCCGGGTCCGAGGACACTTCCGACCCGTCGCCTTCGACGATCTCCCCTCGTTCAATGTCGATGTCGATCCACCGATCGCCCTACCTTGGCGAGTAGGAAAAATCCAGGAAAGCTGCCGGGGACAATCCGGCGTTGAAATGCTCCGACCCAATTGGGGTTAGAAGCTGCCGAACGTGAGATAATGTGGGGTGTAAAGCCCGCGACTCGCCCAGTAGAGCTCGTCATTGGCGGGCGTGGCGCCGGCACTTGCGACCTCGGGAATGCTGTCAGAGAGGGCACTTCGGTGCGTGGGTTTCGAAGTTGCCCAGACTTGGGGTCTACCGGGACACGGCGTGGGCGTGAGACTAAGCTCCCAGTTGGAGGGATCCACGATGTACTCGTAGCTGCCCATGGAGTATCACCGGCCACCTTTGGGAGGGAGCTTTCGAGAGTCCCGTTTTGTCTTCACTTTGCGGCCCCCTACTTTACCGAGCTCCACCTTGAGCACTCGCTGCTTACCGTGCTCATCCATGACGCGGATGCTAGGGGCAAACGGACTCGGGGTCTCGACCTGGGGACGGAACTCGTGTGTCTCTTGCATCTCCTGGATTCCGCTTTCGGACTCTTCGCTGTTATCCACGTCGCAGATACGGAAGCTGTTCTGGTAGCTGCTGCTGTGGATGCTCCTGTGGAGGCTGCTAATGCGGCGAGATTCGCGCACGAGCCGCTCTTCCGGGGAGATTCGCAGCGGGTCAGAGCAGAAGCACCTGTTGGAAAGCATCATGTCAGAGGCGAAGGCCATCTCCAGCTGGTCATGGTGGGAACTGGAAGCGTGGCCACCATGGACGTGCGGGTCGGGTAGCCAGCTGCGACGGCACAGCGGGCAAGTGGAGTTCGACAACAGCCACGTATCAATGCATTCCAAGTGGAACGCGTGCTTGCATTTTGGCAACAATCGAAGCCGATCATCGTCCCCGAACTCTGTTAAACACACTGCGCAATTTGCACTGTACTTAAGCCCCCGGATGGACGCCTAGGAGAACACTGGCAGCGTGTCAATGAAGGCTTGCTCCACGCCTGCGTCATGCAGGTGAAACAATTGCTGCAGCTGGCCATAAAGTGCACTCGCAATGGGGCTATGGTTGCGCGGAGGAAGCCGCCGTCGACCCAGGCACCACGCGAGCAAGTGTAGTAACCCGGACAGTATAAATACCACGCAGAGGATGACGACGATCACAATCACATTGGGGTTGAACTGCGGGTCCCCTGAACCGGACGCTGCCGACGTTGCAGCTTGATGTCCTGTGGGAGAAAGGACGCCCAGATGGACGACTCCCTCCAGCGGCGCGGCTGTGGTGGAGATCCTAGGAGTGAGTATTAGGGAAGACATTCTTCGCGTCACTCCTTGCGTGGTGCAATAAGTACAGCGGAAATTTCGGATTCACAAAATTCTACAAAATTTTAAGAGTCTACAAATCTACCTTCTCGAAGAAGATCGTATAAATTGTTGCTCGTCCGGATTTTCACATACACAGTTCTTGACTAATTCGGTAAACCACAAAAAACCAGTAGGTCTATTCGCAACCGTGACTGTGGTGATACTGTAGCTAAATTTTGGAACCTAGTTGGTTAAGATCGTAGGGCTGAACACCGTCTCACTGCAGTCACTGCAACAAATATGAGCATACTACCGTCAACCTAGCCATGCACTTCGCATCGCTGCTAGTAACTGACTCTCGCCAAGATCCCTCAGATCCAGAATCCGCAACATCTACTTTCTCTCAAAGAGCTCCTTTTCTCCAATCCTCTCAGTGCCTGAAAAACCCTGGCTCTCCTTATCACACCTTCTACCCCCGTCTCCACTGTTCCGATTCCTGGACATCACTGTCACCTTCGCCCGGCGCCCTTCACTCTTGCACCACTTCACCTCTCAATTCCATGCACTACAACGACCCCCGACTCACATACATCCCCCAGATTCAAAACTCCTCATGAATTTCAACATTTTCCACACTCCGCCCTCGGCAGTTAAGGTTCAAATACCGACTCATTAATCAAAATTCACCTCGTCCCTTCACTCCACCGAGTCAACCAAAGTAAAGTTTCAAACCACTTATGCACCCACACACACACACACACGTGATTAGACTTCAGTTGTGTGGCAGTACCTAAAGTGCACCTCGAACCGACAAGCAAAAGCGGCGTGACGACGGCTCCTGCTGGCTCCCTAGCGCCCTCTGAGGTGAGTCCTCCCACATACCGACCGCAACAACTCACGGCGACGAATGGGGATTCCGTTGAAACGTCACGTTTCCGGCAACAGCACCCCGAACATTTTTCATGAACCGGCAGGGAAAACACTACCGGATGAAATCGCCGTGGCGAGTGGCAGAAAGAGGAAGCCACTGCGGAACTAGCTGCAGGTGGTGGTGGTCCGCAACGGCGGCAAGTGCGTGGCCGAGCCGCAATCCCCCCCGAATCGCAGCAGTCATGGCGACAACGAGCTTGTAAGGCAGCAGAGGAGACCCCAATGCCGCTGCCATTTCTAGCCATCTCTCTCACTAATTGTTCCTCCTCCTCCTCCTGGTCTTCTTCATCGTCTTCGTCATCCTCGTCCTCCTCCTCCATTAAGCAGCATTGAATTGAATTGAATGATTCTCGTCCCTCACGGGCCCCGAACAACCCCCTACCACCATCGCTACTGTCGCAGCGTCGTTATGCGTTACTTGCTTTGGGACACGCTAGGGCGCCGGGGCCCGAGAAAGGGTCCACACTAAGGATGAATATATTTTCGTCATTCATCCTCTATATAACGATAACATCCATGGGCTCGGTTTGATGAACGTGGATGGATGATGTTCGTTCATGGCTTGGGACGGATGCAGCTCATTTATGGAGGGGTAAACCCTAAACCTCCTTTTTATCCTAAATTTGGAACCTCACATAATGAATGAATAAATAAATAAATAAATGAAACAATTTTAACTTCTAATTTAAATTTTTTTCTTTCAATATTATAAAAAGAAGATATAAAGTACAACAGTAATAAAATTAGTTTTTCATTTTTATTATTAAAGTAAAAAACATATAAATTATATATATTTAAAATTAAATTAGTATTTATTTTGATCATTTTATTGAATAAATAACTTAAAATTCAAAAGTTCTACAAAAGTATACAACTTTGGAATAAAATGACTTAATTTTTATACAAAGAAATAAAATTGTTGATTTTATCATAGATTTATTAATGTTTTTACAAAATTAAATGCATATGTATGCTTATACACAACACAAAAATAAGATAAATTAAAATTGATAAAAAAGAATCAATAATTAATGCAAGAAAAATTCTAATGCATGTTAAATCTAATTATATTTTAATTTTAAAAATTTAAATACAATAAAATTTGATTTGATGGTTCTCATAATTTTAATTAAGCACATAAATTGAAAGCATTATATTTTTAATTTTTTTTCTGCTATCTAAATTAATTGATAAAAATTTATGTATTAGAAAATATTTGAGATAAAGATCAATTAAAACAGATTAATTTAAGATTTAAATTTTTGTTAAATATTTTCTTACACATTTAATTTTAAAACGTTTTTATTGCAGATACTACTTTTTTTTTATATTATTGTATTATTTAACATTTTTACAAAACTTCAACATGAAGTAATATGAATTATTTTAAAATATTTTATTGTTCTATATATATAAATTATAAAATTAATCTTCTATTCAACTCAAAAGAATCTTCTATTCTATTTATTTTTTAAGGCCATTAATGAAAAATATTATCTCAAAATAGATTATTAAAAAAATCCAATTGCAATCCATTTATGTTAATTTCATCCAAATATATAAGTATTTAAGCACTTAAAATAAGCTTGCACATATTTCATTATCTCAGTGTAGTAGCTTGTGGAACAAGTCAACTACGTGGCGCATACATAAATAACTTGCCTTGCAAGATAAGACATGTGGCTAGCAAAGTCAACACATGTTATAGGTCCTATATGACATCGCCATGTAGCTCTTAGTTAGATAGTATATATAGAGGCAAGAGTGAAGCCTTCTTCACTCTTGCCAACGCCTTTCTAGTCTTAATCTTGTTTCAAGACTTTCTAGTCTTCTTGTTTTTGGCAATAGCCATTCTAATTAATATTACATCACCTTTTGAGTGACTTTCTAGTTCTCTTCAGTGATAGAAGAGTGTATTGAGGATTCACTTTCTTCGAGATTCATGTCCTTGATAGTTTGACAAGAGTGCTAACATATTGTTTCTATCTTGTTTTAAAAGTGAGTGAATTATCCCACTTCTATTTTTGTGTTTTAAAGGTTGCTGACTATCCACCTTTAAATAAAAAATCTTATTTTCTAGCACTGATCTTTTCTTTAAAGAAAGTGGATTATCTCTCTTTGTGGAATTTTTTTTTAGAGATTGCCGATTACCCTCCTCTAATTAAACTTTTGAATTCATTTGAGTTGTCTATGGAAAGAAAGATTATGGATGCTACTCTCAATGGAAGTGAGAATAGATTTGCAACTATGACAGATCTTTATGAGCTTGTCAACACTCTAAAAGTGGAAATCTCACGTATTTTCAACATGAATCATAGAAGTACTATACCTACGCCTATGGAGGAAGTTCAGAGTCTCTGATAAAAAGTTGATGAGTTGAAAGAAGCAAGTAGATCAACATCACAACCAAATCCAGGGAGTTTTGCTTCTACAAATAAATCAGGGACAAGGATTAGTATGCTTGAGAAGTTTGATGGAACAAGATCAAAATTTCAAAGATTTTGGCAACAAATCAAGCTCTATCCAAGATTGCACCTTTTTCCAATATCGTGATGGTTTTTTCCAAGTCGGATTCATAGACGCACTATTATCAAGAAGTGTTCTTTCTTGGTTTACACCTTTAATGGAAAAAAATTCACGACTCCTTTATAATTTGAATTCATTCCTAGAAGTGTTTACAGCAATATTCAGAGAAAGTGATTGAGAATGAGTAGCAGATATCAAGCTTTTATCCTTATGGCAACAATCATGATCAGCCACTATATATGTTATCGAATTCCAAAACCTCGCTATAAGCTTATAGTATATAAAAACTTATAGTATATAAAAATTAATTAGAACATATAATATGTTTATAAGTCTTAGTGTATGTTAGAATGGTTAAATAGATTATTTTAAAGAGAGTAGATTCAAGAAAATTTATTTTGAGTTTATCTTTTTACTTATAGTATTTCAAAAAAAAAATTATAGAACCTAAATATTTAGTATGGAGCCTTAAGAGGAGATTAGAGCCTAAAGAAGAAATTCTTGATTAGTAGGAGGCTTATTGGGAGGGATGAAAGCAAGGCATGGTTAAATGAAGGCAAGGAATGGAAAACTTCATTACTATTGGTCGAAGGCCATGTCCAATAGGCTTTAAGGAGGCTTTCCGAGGCCTTATTAGGAATTAGGGTTTCTCTTTTAAAGTCATTCGAACTTTGGAGGCTAGGGTCAGCAAGTTTAAGATTTTGAATATAATTTGGGTGAAGAGTTTGTATGATTTCTAGTTTTTTTGAAAGAGATATAGGTATTCAAAGTTAAGGTGTCAAATTTGTACCTATTGTCACTCTTTGAAGCATAACATATGTGTACAGAAAGCAATGAAAGATCAGCAACTAGAATTGGAGAGAACACTTCCTTGGCTAAACTTTCTATATAATTTTTGATGAATTTCAAGTCTAGATGAAGGAGTTATAACTATTTGAAGACAGCACATGTAATTCAAAGGTAGTAAGTAAGTCATTTTGTTGATAGTAATGGTTTGAGCCATATCTTAAGTTTTTGGACGAATTTGTGGCTCAAAATTTCCATAAGTGTGAGTTATTATACTGAAAAGCTATACATCAAAATTTCATGGTATTTTAATACTTTTTTTGTGAGATATGAAGAAATTAGCACGCATGTGTATATAAATTAGGGTTTAAAGCTACTGTTAGGATTTTAGTGATATCTCAAGATCTGTAACGAATTTGTAATTGAATATTTTTTTTGTAGTTTTTGAAAGTATATTATTACTTCTTATAAAATTTAGGATTGTTTGGACAATCCGATCGTGAGATATGAGCTGTTGAAGTTTAGAAAATATTTTTCATAAGCATATATAAGGTTTTAAGATACTTTATCATACATTTGGGTATTTTCTTAGTACTTGGACTTTTGTTTTGATGTGATTGTCCTAAAAGGGAATATATATATATATATATATATATATATATATATATAAACTTGGTATTTTTATATCTTAGACTTGATTGAGTATTTAGTAGGAGCCAAAAGCCTAGTGCTTTCTTAAGAAAAACTCTCTCTACTCCGATAATGTGGACTAAAACGACAAAGCATTTATTAACCAATTTTGATATGGGTTGAAGGATAGCATCAAAGATTTGTTATTAAGAATGCCAAAAGTAGAATCTTTCAAACAATTTATTCCTCAAGCCATTGCATGCAAAAATTGTTTATTTCAAAGCGTCAAGAACAAAATTTTGTTTAGAGAGGAACAAGTCATGTAATAGCGGCAGCTCTCAAGTTTTTTGAATCGTATTTGTCAAAGCCAAAACCAATATAAATTGATATGATACATTTTAAACCTCTCATGAAGCAAGAAAAGACTCGACGTCGCCAAGAAGGGTTGTGTTTATATAGTGGAGAAGCTAAGCACATTGCTCAACATTGTCCAAAGAAGCAACACAATTACAAATTGAAGAGCACAATTACCAAATCAGATAATGTGTCAAAAAACGAGTTTTTCTAGCTACAATAGAGACCGTTATAATACCTAAACTCTTGCTTGAGAATGCTTCGGGCACTTGACTGTGGAAGAAAAAATAGAAATTGCAATAACAAAATCTTAATTCTAATAGAATACTAACAATACTCTAATTAGACCATAAAAACACTAAACAAGCTTAATCAAATTTAAAAAAAACCTCAAAGAAATTTCAAAAAAATAATAAAAATTCTTAAAGAAATATTAGAAGGATCACAAATATCACTCAAATACATCCCAATGCAATCTTAATTTAATTCTAGTTAAAATCCTATTGAACTTCATTCAAACTTTAGGCCAAAACTAATTGAATCTTAAATCCTAATAAAATCCTAAATCCTAAATCAAACACTAAACAAACCTTAAACCAAACCCCAACCAAATCTTAAATCAAATCCTAAACCCTAAATCAAATCCTAAACCCTAAATCAAATTCTAATCCAAATCCTAAATCCTAAATCAAATCCTAATCCAAATCCTAAATCCTAAATCAAATCTCAATCTAAACCCTAAATCCTAAACCAAATCCTAATTAAACCTTAAATCCTAAATCAAATCCTAATCAAATCCTAAATCCTAAATAAAACCCTAATTAAATCCTAATCAAATCCTAAATCCTAAATAAAATCCTAATCAAATCCTAATCCAAATTCTAAATCCTAAACCCTAAATAAAACCTAACCAAATCCTAAACCAAATCCTCAACCAAACCTTAAATCCTAAACCAAATCTTAAATCCTAAACCAAACCCTAGTAATTCCTATAATAGATTTAAACCTGAATAACTAATGAATAAACCGTTGATCTTAACTCAAATTTTTTACACTTCTAAAATAATAAATTAAAAACAAGCACAAAAA